ATATATATATATATATATATATATATATATATATATATATATATATATATATATATATATATATTTCAGTAATTATTCACGAAGTGGGATCTTCATGTGTATTTTAGTTTTAGTGTATTCACTTGTATCTAAATTTGTTATATATTTAAATAAACTTATGATTTTGACATATATAATTTCCCTAAATATATTTCTACATGAATTACCAAATCCGAGTACTCGCTACTCGGTAGTTGGCCAAACGAGTACCGAATAATGAGTTCTACAACCTTGCCACCATCTATAGTGATTATGGTGGTTTGAAAACCCTCGGTCTAACATTGTCGTCATCGATGGCGGCATCGGTAATGAATTGTGAGTTGGAGGGTGTATGTTTTATGGGGTTTGTTGCGCATTGTGTGGGTAGTCGACCGATGTAGTTTTCGTCAAGAATGGTTGAATATAGGCGATGATCGGCGATTTCCAGCGAGATGATACGACGACGCAAGGTGGTAGAAGACAACGAATGGAAAAGCTGACCAGGGGTGTTTCGATCGAACCTCCTAGTGGTTGTAGCAGAATATGGTCGGCTTAGTGATAAATATAGAGGATTCTGAGGGATTGTGATGAGGTTATCCTAGGTGGCTATTGGCGGTATTGGGTGTAAGAAGTTGGTGGGGTTTTCGCCGAACAATCGATGAAGATGATTAGCTGTTGTCCCGCCGATTTTCGACGATGGGACGCAACATATTTGCGTATTCTGACAACTTTGTGGTGGAATCAGTTAAAAAATAAAAAAAAATATTATACATTATAAACTATTAATCCAATAATACTATATTTATTATATATAATAATAATAAATTAAAAATAATAATCAATAAAAAGAATTAACGTAATAAAAAAATAATTAAAAGGAATTAATAATATAATAAAGTAATATTAATTAATATAAAAATATTATGTGTTAAAAAATATTTATTTATATATAATAATCTAATAAAAAATAATTAATCCAATAAAGAAGAAATTAAAAAAAGAATTAATTAAAAAAATTAAAAATATAATAAAATAATATTTATTAAGATATAAATATAATATAATAAAATTATTATTTATTGATATCCAATCAAAATGAATTAATCCAATAAAAAAGAAATTAAAAAAATAATAATAATTAAAAAATTAATAATTTAAAAAAATAATTTTTATTAATATATAAATATAATACTTTAAAAATAATATGTATTGATATATAATAATCCAATACAAAAGAAATTAAAAAAAAATCAATTAAAAGAATTAATGTACAATAATTTAATAAAATTAAAAAGAAAAATTACAGAAATGGTCAGTTGTGTAAAAAGATAAAACTGAGAAATGGTTCCTAAGGATAAATGAGTCATTTTCAAAAATTTAACAGTCAAGCTGTTAAACTTAACAAGATATGGACCAAAACCACAAAATAGATACATGTTTTGCTAATAAACTTTATTTTGGACAAGAAAGTAATAAACCACGGGACTATTTGCAATTTTGTCTTTAATAAATGTAGGAGGGCAAAATAGGAATAGTGGATGAAGTTGGGGTGGGTGGTGAACAGAGTTTCTATAGGGATATCATACCTTTGGAGGGTTTTTACTTTTTGGCATTTGTGAATTAAACGAGAGAAAATCGTAATCAGAGATGCCGTGCCTGAATCTGTCAACAAATGTCAGCTTGGAGGGCGTTGATACCTCCGCCATCCTCTCCGAAGCCACCTCCACCGTCGCCGAACTCATCGGCAAACCCAAAGCCGTACGTACCTCTCTCTCTCTCTGTATGTGTGTGTGCGTGTTCTCTGTGCTTACTTCAAATCTGAAGGTTACTTGATGAGTTGATGTTATTATAGCTTCAAAAATTACCCAAGGAAAAGAAAACCCCTTTCAATATTCAAACCTTGGGCCTTGACATGCTTTTACTAGAGTTTAATGTTTCAGTGTTTATGAGTGACTTTTAATTTCCTTGGGTAGAAACGAATTAAGCACCGGTTATGGCAACATCACTTGGAAATTGATTGCATAGTTAAGCAAGGTAATTTGGTATTGAGTGAAAGCATTGATGTAATTGTTTTGAAACTTGTGTTGTGGGCAGTATGTGATGATCGTTCTGAAGGGATCTGTGCCGATGGCTTTTGGTGGTAGCGAGCAGCCAGCGGCGTATGGTGAGCTGGTGTCCATCGGAGGTCTGAATCCCGATGTAAACAAGAAAATAAGTGCTGCAGTTGCTGAGATTCTTAGCTCCAAGCTCTCTGTTCCCAAATCACGATTCTTCCTCAAATTTTTCGACTCAGATGTAACCTATATTATATCTATCTATCTATCTCTTCTGTTTTCTTATTGATATGAAATGTAGTGTGTTCTCATTTTGTTTGTTTGTTTGTGTTTTGATCTGATTTGACAGAGGTCTTTCTTTGGATGGAATGGATCAACCTTCTAGGCTATGGTGCTATGTGTATGTTTATGGGTTGGTTGGTTGGATCACAGATGAAGCATCAAAATCGAACTTATTAGTATGGGACTATGGATATCATATCATATTATTATTACTAGTGTTTGAAATGTCAAAACATTGAAAGCTTATAATCCAAGCACTTTCTCTTAATGCCTCATATCGATGATGTTTGTCTGGGTTAGTTTATGGGTAGCAGATGTGTTGTTTCAGCTGCTGTTATATGTATATTGGGAAAGATTTACCCGCCCACATCACATATACTGTCATAAATCCATGTTAAAAGATGAATTATCGATTGATCCTTTGGTACCTTAGCCATGGGAACTTCCTCTTTCCTGTAAATGCTAAGGGAGACCCCAATAGAAAGATTTTCATCATTCTCAAAACTTTAACTGAAGAGTTTTGTTAAAAAGACAGAAAAACAATCTATAGAAGTTTGAAGTTACAAGACGACAACTTTAAATTTTCAATATTTGATTTTCAGCTTGTTTTACTCTTACCAAAAGGCTAAACAGCAAACCAGTCCAATATAACAAATGATTAATATCATAAGGTGTTCAGAAAACACGAATGAACTAGAAAAATAGATATTATCAAAATGCAAGATATTATTGTAACTTTTGCACCTAAAATATCATAGTCGTTCTTAGAGATGCACATACAGGTTTTTCAAAAAGTATCACCCCTGTTTGGAAACCTATTTGTCGCTATGATGAAAAAATGGTTTGGAAATATAGGACCAGTTTACAAGTTGATTGACAACCTGATTAAGAAAACTGGTTTGAAAAACCGATATTTTCGTTGTATTGTGTTTTGCTAGACTGAATTTCAGTGTTGATCCAGATCAAGATCGTTGACTCGTTTAAGTTGGTTAAAATGGTATTGTTTTAATTTTAACTAGAAAAGATTCTGCAGCG